GAATACACTAGCGTAGTAACCGAGGCTTAACATGTCCGGTTGCAACGCAGATAACGTCGCAACAACAGCAGCAATAATATTAACGTAAGCCGAGATATCCGTACGTACTTCTGGTCGTATGTCATACACCACAACTTCCCATACCAGCCTGCTCTCCCGTTTAATCAGCTTACCGCTGATCCAGTGCACAGTGCGATTTAGACAGTAGTAACGTACCAGGAGGTCCAGGACTAAATTGTTCAACCGGAAATTCTCGTCTTTCGGCCGCTGGTTAAAATTTCGGTTGTGTTGCTCTCTTTTCTTCTCCCCCGGGATCAGCATCACCGGAATAACACGTCGAACTTTGACTTTGACCACATCGTACCATGGAACGGCCGGCGCAATCAAATTGGCTGCGTTTCCACGGTCAGTCGGATACTGACCACTGTGGCAGCGGAACATTCGCCGTTTGTCGTGCTTGTTCGGTACATATGGGGCACCCTATAGTCTATTGCACCCGCTCTATGCCTCTGTCCATGGACGGCCACAAACAGTACACATGGGCTTCGCCTTTCGTTTTGGCTGCGCCCAGATGACTTGCTAGAAAATATGACACCAGTTGGTGCGTGGAGCTTCTTCGGTACAATAGTCCGCGTGCCCCAACACAGCCAACCATTCACCGTCACTATTAGTGCTGGGTCGGCCGTTTTTCTACATCTTTTTCCATATTTAACGTCCACTGCGGGCCATGGCCCGGAAATTCCCAACCGCTTGTACGGTCACAGCCCTCCTCTACCTATGCTGGGCCTTCCAGTCTGGACGGCTTTTTTCGAGCCATTTTATTAGTCTCGAATTTCAGTAGGATGGGGCAGCGCTGTTTTTGTCAGTCTTCGGCACACAGTTATTAGCGAACGTTGGCCCTTTGTACTTGTCGAATTCCACGAGGACAACCAACGGCATCGTGTCATCTGGAGATGTTCCAGAAGCATAAATAATTTCACTCCCAAAATCCAGGAATCCGTTTACGAGCCCTTTATCCGTTTATATGATTGTATCTTTTCAGAATAACCCTTGACCATCGTGACAAGTGAAGTGCCGAATCCAGGCCCACTGACTGCTGGTCATTTCTTTAATAAAGATAAATTTTTGGTGATGCGAGGGAGCTGCTTAGTAAAACGGTGCTTTCTTACCTTCGGCGGCAGTTTCTTGTTATGTTTAGCTTTGATCTTCGCAACCGGCATTTGCAGATCCGTCAGGGCCCTGATATTATACGGGCTTTCGCTCGGCACACAATCGAATAGCAATCTAAAAAATGTCTCCCGTTCTTCATCGGGAAGAAGACCATAATTCCGTGAAACCATTTTATCATATCTGTAGTCTACCACCGTTGACTCTCCAACACTCAATCTGTGTAATGCATCCCTGAAATGTTACTGCTCGGGATCGTATCCGCTTAGGAGACGAGCGCTTTAGTAAATACAGTCCTGTAAATTTGCTGCTTGTGGTCGGTCCTTTCGTTTTTTTAACCATCGCCGCATAGCGGGCGATCTAACACAATAGACAATGAGGCCGCCAAATGGAATTTGACATCACTTACATATGTCCTGATTTTTGCTTGCCTTTATCTCTCGTTAATTTTTTTGCCCGTCCCGATTAGATAACATTTGTCCGTTAAAATAATTTTGAGGTCACCCATTTCTTCTTGGTAGAGCTCCTCTTCCTGCGCGAGGTCGCACAATACGGTGCAAACAGGAATTCTGAGCTTTGGCTGAATTGTTGATGTTGTCAGCGGCAACTCTTGTTAGCCAAGGAGACAAACAGTTGCTTCCGTACATGGAGTATCGCGTAATAAGATTTGCAATGACGTCAGCACAACTGCGGAAGCTACTGCCGGGTTTCCACTGTTCAATACAGCACTGATCATCGGCGTTGCCAGCTATCTGCTTCTGAAAGAAACCAAACGTATTTCGCTGCTCTTCGGACAACAAAAAATTTGGAACGGCGGCAGAGACATCGACAGTGACTCTCTTCTTGAGTACGAGTACGGGGATTTTTTAACGGAAGTATTAAAGTATTAACACACGGTGATGTTCAAGGTTCCACAGTAAATCATGCGTATTTAGGGTTTTTAGCAAGTACGTTTCACGTCATAATTATAAGTTTATTCTGGACAAGAACAGTAAGTACGAACTAGGTACTTACTGTACAATACTACAGTACTGTACAGTAATAGGACGATACTAAGTCTTTAGAGACGGCCTAGACTCCAACTCTGACTCTGACTCTGATTCTGACCACTCAAACTCTGACTCTGACTACTCAAACTCTGACTCTGACTACTCAAAGTCTGACTCTGACCGCTCAAAGTCTGACTCTGACTCTGAGGTTTCTTAATAGGTTTCTTAGGTTTCTTAGGTTTCTTAGGTTTCTTAGGTTTCTTAGGTTTTCTTAGGTTTTCTTAGGTTTCTTAGGTTTCTTAAGTTATTCTTAGGTTATTCAGTCAGAGTCAGAGGTTGGACAGTCAGAGTCAGACTTTGAGTAGTCAGAGTCAGAGTTTGAGCAGTCAGAGTCTGAGTCAGAGTCAGAGCTTGAGCGCGGGCCTTTAGAGACGGTAAGTGCAGACTGCGCAGTAAGCACAAGCTCATAGTACATGTACACTAATACTTAACCGTTTAGGGCATCACACCATGACGTCATACAGGTTAAGCCCTGATGGGTCAAAAGTCAGATTTTATGTATCCTTTAGTTTACATGTAGAACTGCTAATATAATATTTTTGACATGATCTAAAAAGCAATACTTCAGTATTGACTGGTCACATGGGGAGTGTTCGAATGGGTTAGGAAGACTAAAGCTGCAGCTTGCTCGGGCTGCTTTATGGAACGATTCATACCAAACTGAGCAAACTCCAATTTCGTCATTTTGGAAGTTACCACTATGTCGTTTTTTGTAATTATGTCGTTAACGTACAGCGGAAAATATGTTATCCAGCCGGATTGATGATAGGTGGAAAATGTCATATATCGGATGGTATCACGTAAATTTCATTCGGGGGGATATTTCTAGGAAAACCTTTTAAAGCGTCTTCGTATCTGTGTAGCGATCTCGGGAAAACCCTCGATCTCATTCACCGAAAGTGAAGAAGCTGTCTTCTTGTACATAAAATGTTGGATGTGGAATGCCCTTAAAATCAGTGCTCACGGCTGAGACAATGTGCCAAAATCTGTGACACGCAGCTCTTGGCAAATTTTCTTAAACAATGCGACATTTTTGGAAACTCGTGTCAGGTGTACTCCGTACATTTGTTTAGTGTCCTGAACCCGATAAAGCGTCCGGGATAGTTTCTGGTTGGCTAAGAATGTCACGTTCTTTCTGGAAGCAGACGATTCTCCTTTTTCAATGGTCACCCATCCCTGATTGTGAGATGCTCCGCTGTCAGTTCGGAAGGGTGATGATTTTGTTCCGTTATCAGACCAAAACGTTAGCCGAAAAATCCCAGTTTACAGCAAAAGTGGTTTCGCACGTCTTTGGGAATCAGTTCCTGCGTTTTCATTGGAGAGTTTTTGGTAGAGATACATGTTTCGTGAAACAATCGTCAGTGTGGATATTGGCGCACAGTTTCACTAGGTTGTCTTCGTATTCCCAAAAAATGCTCTTCGATATCCTCCGCTTTACAGAACCGTGAGAGAAAAACCACAGATAAATTGTTCCTTTGGAACACGTTACAAATTCGTTCAGTTTGGCGAAATATGCGTGTAATCCAGAGGGGATTCAGTGGTTTTTTTTTCCGGCCAGTACAAATTTACAATTGTGCTTCAACGCCCGCATTAGGCAGATCTTTTAAACCCAAGCAACGCGTTACCACTGGCAGCTCTTGAGGGAACTCGTTTATGTAGTAGAAAACTGCCTCAGCTACGATGGGCGGAACCGTTGTCGAGAGTTCAAAATAATTATAGGGTTTGGTAGGTTGATTATTGGTCTTTCAAGTACCTTTATTTTTTTCTCTGGCTACGCTTATCAATCCAAATTCAGAGAGGCAACGCGCTATGTATTGTGAGTTGCCGGAAACAGAAAAAACAGTAGCAGCGCCTGTATTATAGCTTTTTGATTAGTTGTACGCGTATTGTTGTTGTTCGGTTTTCTCGCCATCAGAATGCTTCCTGTAATCTACATAATACGCGTAAGCGTTTGTCACCTAAAACACTTTCGCACGCACATAAAAAGGCACGGCATAAATTCCAAAATAAAAAGCCAGTAACAAACTAAAAATGTTATTGGGTACGCGCTCTGCTGCGTCTATACAATAACTCTGCTAGATGTCGTTAACCGTTCAGTTATTCCGCTTTCATATGCAATCCGATAAGTGTCGTGATCTACATAATTTGGTGCATTGTTCGGATTCCGCGGATCCGGCGGGCTTTGTAAATATTCCACTACGGAAGCTGACCTTCCCGTTTACCGCCTTGTGTTCCACGTTTAGTACCGTGACGAGTTCTGCTCTTTCACGACATCGTTGCACTCTGCCTAACTCATGAGCTTTGTTTTGTAGCTGAGTTGATAGAACCGGTACGACACGAATTTTCCGGGTAAACGTATCAACTACATGGCAGGAGACAATTCGCCGTCATTTGCATATATATGTTTATGCAAATTAATTATTCATAATGCGAAGAAACAGCAAATCCATCGCTGTTATTGACCTTTCTGAAACTTTCTAGAATATTCCAGAATGTCACAGCACTAAATTCTAAAAATTTCGCTGAATCGGAGACTACTCAAACTTTTTTGCAAACCACTTGCAAATCCACATGCATTCTTGTAACAAGCTACTTATTTTTTCAAAAATCTGCAGGGTTTCAAACTTTGAATCTCAAATCAGGTGTTATGGAATATTCTTTGAAAACGAGACGTAGCGATTTATTAATCAATAGACATCCACACTGTTACCGCGGGGTGTGTTGTTTCCGGTATTCACTGGCAATGCAACCGGTGCGGGCAGTGAGGAATTCGCCACCTGTCGCTCATCCGGCTGCAGCCAGTATCTCGGTCGGATCTGGTTCAAGTGTCTGCGCCAGATGGCGCCTTCGACAGACACGTTCCCATAACCGGGTGCCTTCACGTCTGACCAGCCGGCCGCTGGTCCAGTCGACGGTTCGGTTGAGGCGGTAATCGCGAACCATTACCAAGTCGCCAGGCACGAAACTCTTCCGCTTGGTGCGCTTTTCAAAATTGTGCTGGCACCGTTGACGGTTTCTATCCGTATGTGTGAACATGACAGGAGACAACAGGTCGAGCTGAGTACGGAATTTTCTACCCAGTAACAACTCCGCTGGCGACTTTCCAGTTGTAGCATGCGGCGCGCCTCGGTATCTCCAGAGGAACTGCCGCAGTGCTTCGGACAGGTTCTTCCGGTCAGCCATGAGTTTTGCAACTCCGTCCTTGATGGTCTGGACATACCGCTCCGCCTGTCCATTCGATTGTGGGTGTTTCGGTGGTGTCCTGAGATGCTTTATCCCGTGTTCCGCACAGAAGTTTGCGAACTCCGGTGACGTAAACTGGGTGCCGTTGTCCGTAACGATTTCGGTACAAGCGCCGTACCAACTGAACAGGTTGCGCAAAGTTTCCAATACGCCATCGGATGTAGCGTGTTTCAATTGCGCCACTTCCGGCCATTTTGGCATGGCATCGACCACCAGCAGCAGCATCGTGCCGTGGTATGGACCGGCAAAGTCAATGTGCAGCCTCATCCATGGGTTTTCGGGCACTTCCCACTGCGAGAGCGGTGCCTTGGCCGTTTCCTTAGCGCGTTCGGAGCAGATCCCGCACTCGCGAGACATCTGCTCGATGTCTTTATCCATCTGCGGCCACCAGCAATAGGCGCGTGCCTCGCCTTTCATCTTACCGGCTCCCATGTGCGCTTCATGCAGGTAGTCCAGTATCTGCCGACGCTGCTGGACCGGAATTACCGTACGCGATCCCCAACAGATGCAATTGTTGATCAGCACCAATTCATTCTCCAGCCGTTTGTAGGGACGAAACCGCTCATCAACCATGGCCGGCCATCCATGCAGGATGTAACCGTGGACCGTGGACAGATCCTGGTCATCGGCGGTTGCTTTGGCGATTCCTTCTGCTTTGACAGGTAAACGTGATACGTTGTCTCCGTGTACAGCATTCACCATCCTGTCCATCCCCAGCCCGCTTAATCCATCCAGCTCGGTCGAATGGAGTGGCAGGCGGCTCAGGCCGTCGGCATGTCCGAAATCCTCGGTGCGCCGATGCTCAATTAAGAACGAGTAGCTCATGAGCAGTAATGCCCATTGCTAGAGTCGGTTGGCAGTCACGACCAGAACTCCTTTGTTCCTTCCGAAGACACTCAGCAGCGGCTTGTGGTCCGTGCATAACGTGAATTCGCCACCAGCTATATACTGGTGGAATTTGCGGCAGCCGAAAACCAGGGCGAGAGCCTCCTTCTCTATTTGCCTTCTTTCTTCTCGGCTCCGGTAAGTGTCCTTGATGCATGCGCAATCGGCCGCTCGGTGCCGTCTGGGAACTGATGACACAGCACGGCGCCCACACCGTACTGCGAGGCGTCCGCTGACAGGACGAGAGGCATTTCGGAATCATAGTGCACCAAAAACGTTGCCCGCATTATTTCTTCCTTGATGGCCAGGAACTGTGACTCGCATTCTTTGGACCATGACCACTGCACTCCCGCTTTCAGCAGCTGGTGAAATGGACTGCATTTGGTCGAAAGGTAACGCACGTACCTGCCATAGTGGTTAACCAGGCCGAGAAATGCACGTAACTGACCCACATTGGCCGGGCGGTTCATGTCGAAGAGCGCTTTCACTCGGTCGCGTGAGATATGCCGGCCTCGGCTGTCCATCACGAACCCGAGGTATTCTGCTGATTCCTGGAGGAACTGACACTTGGAGCGCTTCAGCCTGAGTCCGTGTTCTTTGAGGCGTTGTAGGACCCGCTCCAGGTTCCGGAGGTGCTCTTCATCAGTCGCTCCTGTGACGATGATATCATCCAGATAGATGGCGACGCCTTCGCACCCCTGGAGGATCCGTTCCATGATTTGTTGAAAGATGCTCGGGCCGCTGGCAACACCAAACGGCAGGCGGTTCTACTGGAACAACCCCTTGTGGGTGTTGATCACCACCAGCGCCTTGCTTTCTTCGTCAAGACTTCAAGCTCCACTTGCAAAATGGCATCAGCCAGGTCGAGCGTGCTAAACTTCTGACCGCCGTTGAGCTTTGCAAACAGCTCGTCGGGCGTCTGAAGGTGATACTGTTGCACGTCCAGTGCATCATAAAGCCCCGTGCTCAAATCCGCGCACGTCCGGATGTCCCCACCACGCTCGAGCGCTGCGACGATCGGTGCTGCCCACTCTGCATGCTCCACTGGTATGAGAATCTCCTTCTCCACCAGTCGGTCAATGTCGCGTTCCCCGGCCACCCGGAAGGCGAATGGAACCGGTCGCGCCTTGCGGAATACCGGCGTGGCACCTGGCTTTAGGTGCAGAGGGGCTTTATAGTGCTTGCACTGGCCCAGTTCCTCGCGAAAGACAGCACTGTGCTTGGCAAGGATATGCTCCAGCTGGACGTTTCCCGAGACAGCGCACACCGCTGGGATCTGGAGGTCACGCAAACTCAGCTGACTTAAATTCAACGCGTGTATCCAATCTCGTCCAAGTACATTTCAACCCGTTGCTACCACAATCGGCAGCGGCAGCGTCTTCCGCGTTCTCGCCTGGGTCACTTCCACCATCGCTGTGCCAATGACCTTTAAGGTATGGCCAGTGAAACTCTTCAGCGGATTGGTGTACGAGGATAATTTTGGAGAGCCGATCGATCTCCAAGTTTCCGAGGCGACAATGGTGACGCCGGCGCCAGTATCCAGCACTGGTGACACCGGTACACCATTTATTTTCACCGGTACGTGAACGGCGCGCCCGCTGGTTGCATCGACAGAGAGCACGTCGAACTCCTCCTTCACCAAAAACGTTCCGCGCCCATCGCGTCCCTGTCGGCCGCTGGAGCTTTGTGCGCTCCGGCAGACCTGCGCACTATGGCCGCGCTTTTTGCACCTCCTGCACTCCGCATCTTTCGCCCAGCAGTCGCTTCGAGCTTGCTGCATGGATCCGCAGCCGTCACAGGCTACACCCTTGCCACCTTCTGCGCCAGAAGGCTTGCGTTCACCACCAAGGTCAGGGCCTCGTTGTCCGCCACGAGCGCCGTCACGCCTTCTGTAGCCATTACCCGCTGGTTTCGCTTCCCGCTTTCCAGGCGCGCCACATCGACAGTGGTTTGACCCTTTCTGGTGCTACGCCGGAACTCGTACTTCTCCGCAATATCCAGCGCTTCCTCCAACGTCGTACCATTAAGAAAGGTCGCCGACATGTTCTTTTCGAGAACATCGGCTGGAAAACCACACGGGAGGACTTTGCGGCGAAGCTTATTGGAATAATCCAACAGGGATTCACCCTGTTCTTGTTTGAGCTTAAAATAATTGGCCCACTCGGTGGCAGCGTTGGTCTTCTTCACGAAGGCGTGTTCGAGTTTGTCTACAATTTGCGTTGTGGTGGAATCGTCCGGGTTCGCCGGCAAACACATAGAGAAAAGCATTTCTCCAGCCTCGACGCCCAGGGAATCGAAGAGTAGACATTTCTGGTCTTCGCCGACCGTGATTTTGGGTAGTTTCACGTAATTCCTATACTGGAATTGCCACCAGCGCCAGGTCATTTTGAAGGCTCAAATTTAATCAGGCCGGAGGCGCCCTTTTCTTTCGCTGTGCTCGCGGCGGCGGTGGTGTTGGTGGTTGAGGCGGGTACTGATGGCGTCATTTATAAAGGAGAAAGGAGTATGACCGTGCGTGAGTTCGAAATACTTCACGCCAGTTTGTCACGAAGTAGGAAATAAAGAGTAATATTTATTTGGTACGCGCGTGCTGCTCTACTGACTAAATCTATCATCAACATCTCGCAGCATAACAGTCGTTGCTAGGTAAAAGGTCGTACAATACTGCACGGCATCACGTACATGTATTCTGGGGCAAATATAATCTGAAATTTCAGCAATAATATTATTAAAGAAAATGTAGACATTGCCAAAACATAATAAATATTTTTTGTATAAGCAAGTGCCAATACATATTGCTTATCGGTTTTTCTATATGCATGCCAGTGCTTTTTTAATTTTGAGGAATCTAAGGAGTAAGGAATCGGGGTCACAAAAAGTGGCTTGTTTGATGTCTCCACCTGTATTTGTTCTCATGAGATCAGGTATTTGTATTCTGAGTTGGTTTCGCAGCGTGATTTCGCTGATTTGAGAAACGAATCGCATATTGTGCTTTTCACTTGTGCTTTTTCCGAAAATTCAACTGTGATCCACGGTCCAGTGATTTTGGTACTGACAATTTGAAAAACGGATTCGCTTGGCATTAATCTGCCACAGTTTTTGGTTTGGATGTTGCGCCATCAGAATAATCAATTTTTAAAAATATCAATCAACTTTTTAATATTGAATTACATGTATTATGTATGTTGCATGCAAATTACGCATTACGTATATGCATTTTACCTAGATTAGTGTGCGCACATATTTCGGAACGGTATGATTTCCTTATTACCAGTTTACGAAATACCGTCATGGATTCCGCATCCGGCAGCCCCAAAAACTGTCGACAGTAGCAGTTTTGGTGTCTGCTGAACGCGGAAACCCTGTGGTCCGTAACTTCAACACTGTCTCAAGTAACACGATTCCTGTTTCATGCATACTTAGTACATTTGTGAGTACTTAATAGATTAAACACACACACACACATTTTGTAATACACACATTTTGTAATACACACACACACATTTTGTAATACACACATACACACATACACATTTTGTAATATGCATAATACCCGTGTAACGTGTAATGCGTGAGAAGCTGCGGGTGGTTAGTGAACCCACGATAGACAATTGAATAGGTTATGCAGTTTATTTTACCTAACATAGGGGGTGGGAACTGGGAATGCGCTAGCGACTCGAAAAACTCCCTGACGCTTCGTATTATTACTAGCTGAGCCCCGAGTTGTGAGTGGTCTTGGTACTGTCCCGTCACGTATGACTTAGAAGAAGCTAGATCCTATTTAAATTTTCCCGAACCTGTTGCTATCATCATTCAGCTTCTTAAAGGATTTGGCCCGGTACATACAAAATACGTGCACATCCAATGGAACTTTCGCTGCCGCGCACTCCCAGACACTTTTTTTGCATTTCTTTATGTTATTTTGTAGCCAGAGATATGTTCACGTAGGCATGAAATCCGTTTCCGCGCGCAACATCCGGTCGCGGACTTATTGGTGTAAAAAAATTCAAAAAAATTTAAATGCATTCAGGTGTACCAAAAGTTTTATTGGACTGATCTCCTTAAAAATTTGCACGTAAATGCACATACCTAATCATGAAGATCGTTCTTACACCGAGCCAGACTTCCACGATTTTCTTTTTAATTTTAAAATTTTTAAATTCATTTAAAAATTTGAAAAACATGCCAGAACATGGGTCGGTGTAAGAACGATTTTCATGGTTATGTGCATGTACTGGTACGTGCAAAGTTCGAAAGAGATCGGTCCATGATGAGACATTTGGTACACCAATGTCTCATTTCGAATTGTGGTTCACCAATAACTTTCCAACTGGATCTTGCGCGCGCAAACAGATTTCACGCCTATGTGAACACATCCTCTGGGTACAAAATAGCTTAAAGCAATGCAAAAACGTACATGGGAGTGCGCAACAGCGAAGGTTGCCGTGGATGTGCACGAATTTGGTGCTATGTACCGGGCCAATCCCTTAAAGGTATATAGGTTTCAGCTTATTAAAGGCTTTATTAACTGTTTACGTAATAATATTTGCTCGGTGCTTCTGCAAACAAGATAACATGAAAAACGTGTATGTGCGGCTCATTTATTTTACCCATTGTTCAAGTTCTGAAAGAAGCCTTTTATCGTGGTTACTTTGGACACATTAGCTCACACAATTTGCTGATAAAATTTCAATCCAAGCCACGCAACCAAAGCGAACGTTTAATTGATACTAGTATACGTGAGTAAGCACTTCCTCGTGAGTAAGCAAAAAATTCTGAGCTTCCAAATTTGGTATTTTAAATTTCGCGGCGGCTTTGTACATGGTGGTTCGTAAAAATATAATTAATCAAAGCCCACACTATCCGTCTTAACACTAAGATTGAACGTAACCGTCATTATGTTGTTCGCGGTACTGCTGCTGCTGAATTCTGGAGTCCAGCCTTTAGTCCATGGATCCGGTCATATCACGAGCTCTTTTGCACGATGGCCGTCAAATCCGGCGGCCGCAGTTAACGACAGTGGCATGTATTCTGAACCATTGGTAGAGATACCGTATGACAGATATTTTGAGCACGGTAAGTGCCAAATCGCTGTTGCTAATCGGAACATTATACTGTTACCAAATTGTTCTTTTTTTATTTCTTGGCAGCTATTCCAGAGTTCAAAACATTTGTTGACGCCGCGACAACAATCAATCGAGCCACGAAAAACTGCATCCGTTTTGTCCCGACATACCCATCAACTGCTAACAAACTTCGAATGACCGCAATCGACCCCGTTACTGGGTATGTGCATGAACTCTTAAACGCCATAATAACATTACAAAGTACCATTCAGATAACAAGAGGTTGTCGAAACTAATTACGTATCTTACGAAAACAATAATTTTTTATATTAATATTATTAGAGCTCTCTCTCCGGTTTGTCGAGGCCCTCTTGGTTACTTGGGTGGCATCCAGCATCTGGTGCTGGTAGGAACTTTTAGCAATCCGGGCGCCGGTCGTGCCGGTTGCCTGCAAGATCAGCGCGATGTTACCCGTCTATTACTCAACGCGCTGGGCGTAGTCAGTGAATTTCAGCGTCCGGATCGCGATGTACCGAACAGTCCCCTGCGATTTCTGGCCAATTACGATGAAAAGCTTCTGCACGCAGTGCGAGCCGACGGAATGTTCCATAAAAAAGCTGCAGCGGAAACTGTGGCTGTTTATCCGGACACATTCGATATACTGTCCGTCACGATGGTGCATCCAGGGCGGTACGCCAAGTCCGCCAGTGACGCAGTTTGTCAGCTGGCCCCTTCTGGGAAAACTGTCGGCACAGTGACGAAGCTCAGCAAAGGAGACTGCGAAGTGCTCAGTTACATGTATCAGTGTAACATAACCTGCGAATCAACAGGTACTTTACGCTGTGCCATCCAAATACTGTATGTACGAGTACCATAACAGTGATAACACGACATCGAATATCGTTTTCGATGTTATGGGTGATACGGTAAAATTATACGGGAAAAATTCTATCTGTCACATCACATTAACTGTACAACGGAACAGCTATTAAGCCGTCGGTTTTTCTACCCAAAAATTGTCATTAATATGCTGTAATATATATAGCCATAACAAAGCTGATTCAAAGTAAAGCTGAAAATCCAGTATTAGCTGGTCTGAGGATAAGCGAATTCTCGCGCGCTACCAGCCAGAGACTACTGACCATGAGTAAAAATACCTTGCGACATACATATCTGTAATTCCGCTGAATTATAGATTACGGAGCAGTTTACGGGGTACCGGGATTTGACACGGAGGTAATTTCGCAGAGTCACTTTTGCTGGCCTAACACAACAGGATTCGTTAGCGAAGCCGCTGCTGTTGGAGAAATTCAGGTAAGTAATGGATAATATCGATCGATGTGTCTATCTAATGCAACGTTCTGTTGTAACATTTAACTATAACGTTCATAGATCCTGATTAACGTTCTCTTTAACGTTCACAGTTTTGGTTTTTCCAACCGAATGCGCCTCCCGCACATATAAGTAATTCTCCCAGTGGCAGTCCTTTCCACAAGTTGTGTTTCTCATTCTGTTTTTTTGGCTATTGTCGAGATTTAGAACTAAAATGCTGTCGAAGGTACAGATTTTCCCTTCACGTGGATTTGCAGACACATTCTCTACGTATGTGGCTGTGCCACACTGAAATTATTTGCTCGTTCTTTGTCGTTGAATCAGGGCGGTCGGATAAATCAGGTCATGCGCACGAATATTCCAAATGCGAAAGATCTGTTCAGTCAATGCATCTCCGAAAAGGACGACGATTCTGATTTTACAATAATAGAACTAGCCCAAAACCCAAAACCATAATTTTTATTTTTCTACCGACATAAAATTTCTGACAAAGTTATCTGAAAGCTGAAACTTGTAAGGGTTTTAAACGTTTTAAAGTCTGCATTGTTGCCAATGTTGTTCCCTTAATTGATAATTCCTACAAAAACTTCTCATGACGTTTGGAGTTCAAGAGTCACGCCGCAAAGAACTTTCTCCAAAATACGGAATCAACCCAACTTTTCTTAAACAGGCAAATTACACTGCGTGGCCGAATATGACAGTATATTATGAATTCACTCCCTCCATTGACGTTTTGGCAACCCCGGTGAATGGCACTCCGAATAGTGCCCAGCTGACGTTAACACGTCCTATCCGGACTGGCTTCCAAGCACTGGCGCGTCTCATTGCAAGAGACGACAATAAGTTACTTGCGGCCGATGACAACACCATCAACATTAACTGTTGGCTACAATTTCGCCTTACACCCAGCGCAGATGGAGTATCCGAACAGTTTTGTGGTGTGCCGGTCAAAATCGGCACAACAGTGCCCGACCTACCCAACCCTTTCGTCAACAGAGAATGCCGGCGAACCGGAATTTACAACGTTGAAGTGCCCTGTGCATCTGAAACCGGCCCCATTCCAACCTCTTTTGACATCATTTCAATCGATTCGGTAAGGCCGACAAGTCGAGCCAGGTAGCAAAAATAAGAATTTTCTGAATCTGGTATGTGCTCTGGTCAGTTAGCAAGGTTACCAAACCTGGCCGGCGTTTCATGAAATTTCTGACTTCCACTCATCTCGGAATTTCGAGGAAGTATAAGGGTATGAAGACCTTAAAGGAAGTATAGAGGTATAAGAGCTTAGTATAGTTAAAGGCCAGCAGGAAAGTTTGTATGATCAGTGTTAGTTACTTATCTTGAGAATGCCCTACCTATGACCTGCTAGTCACAGCGGTGGGCATCTATGGGTTATGAGAATGCTTAGCATTTCTTTTTCTGCGAAACAAGTAAATGCAAACGTGAGTTTAATATCCATACACCACGGTTGCAGGTTTGTGACCCCGATGGGACAGAATCCGAGTTTGGTGGGTTGCATGTAATTTTCTGAGGGTGCAAGTGATGCCGATGTGAGCCAAAAATCGATCTACGTTCCAGTTACGCAAACATTAGTGGCTACTGCGTTGGACCTTAATCCGGACACTTTCACTTTTCGATTGATATTCATCGACCCGAACGCCACTTCTCCTATTGAGTTCGTATTCAAAGCGCATGTTAGCTGCGTTACGGGTAAATTATGGTAGTTACTGTAGGATACAGGGATTTTAACAGAGGTATATGTTGTACAAGTGCTAGGATTTTTCTGGACGCTTTTCCGGAGGGATTACAGAATCCAGATACCAGACTATTACTCCACCACTGCGGTCAGTACCCCTTAGTTTTTTCAGATTTTGGTGATATGGATTCAGATGATGATAGGTAATTGGGCGTGGATTGTCGTGTCCTTTGTCCTGAGCATTCTGGGGATTTTGATCGCAGTGGCAATAGCTTGAACAAAGCGAGCGAAGACAGTAAAGACTTTACAGTGTCATTTACTATAAAGGGGCAATTACGACTAAACCTCGTAGTAAACCTTTGGTCTTAAGTATAGTCTTCACAGAATAACAGGCTGAATGGGAATAAACTAACGCTCAAAGAAATGCACAAGGAACTTGGCCCAGAATATGACCAACACCGGGTTAAAGACGGCATTTGAAGATCGGTACCCATAGTAATTAACTACGGGTATACGCTGGTAGATTTATACGTTGATTGTTAATTAACTTTTGCAGAACCAACCGTACTGGGACAAGGAGCTTATGGATTAGTTCTCAAAGCGATACTTCTTCAGCAACGTACAACCAGCCAGCCGTTACAGTCAACGGATGTGGCAGTGAAACGAGTGCTGCTCGGTTCGAAAGAAAACGAACGGCAACTTCTTCATGAGATTAAAATGTTGCACAAAGCCAACACACATCCCAATGTGATCGCTCTGTTGAGAATCACTACCGACGGTACAGAGCTTTAATATTCGAACGGACGTTGAAAGGTCACCTATTCGACTAGCTATTTTACAGGCGAGTTGCGGTTAATTACTCAGCTGTGTGCTTACGGATCCCTAGATGTACATTTACGCAAAGAGCGAGAGATGCTAACCGATCAGAGAGCACCGATTGGCGCAAACAGGGAATGGGAACCTATGGAATTTTTCGGTTTTATCAGACAGATCTGTAGTGGTATGCAGCATCTGGCCCTGCGGAATATTATTCACAGAGATTTAGCGGCTCGAAATATCCTTCTCGCTGAGAATAAAAATTTGAAAATCTCCGATTTTGGGGTGGCAAAGGATGGACCGCAGTTTAAAGAAACCAAGCCGCTAATTTGCTGTTTTTGCACTGTATTGAGTTACAGTGTATCAAGCCTTACACCTATCTATAATCTGTACATTAATTCGAGACTGCTTTTAGATTCGTCTGCCGGTTAGATGGATGGCTTTGGAATCACTTTTGTCGGCCAAATTTAGCCTAGCTAGCGACGTATGGTCTTTTGGGGTGGTTATGTGGGAGATCTTCACTTGGTGCGAAGTCCCGTACCAGTCGTTGTTTTCGATGAAGACAAATGTTCCTGAATTGATTTCGCATCTACAAAATGGCGAACGCTTGCCTCAACCCTCCAGTTGTCCAGATCAGTTGTAAGCGCGAAACTGCATACTATGGCAGCATGTAACACTCCCGTTAATTCTTCGAACGTTCAGTGTGCTTTCGGTTCTTAAGTTTTATGTTTCTAACGACTATATCAGCAGCGAACATAGCAAATTTTGTTTTGGTCAGCGACAGGCAGTAGCTTTAAATGAAAGGAACGCTAATTGTTTTGCAGATATTACCTGATGCTTGAATGCTGGGAAACTGACCATACAAAAAGATGTTCTGTCCAAAGCCTTGCAGAACGGCTAATGGCACTTTCGGCTGCTGACAACGCGATACACCGTTACGTTGCTGTGGATACTTGATACACCGAAAGCGGGAAAGCACATTCGTATGGACATGCACTGGACTACGTAATTCGTTTGTGTCGCTGTTCTGTTTGAGTTTGAGTCTCAACCCAAATATCCCTTAAAGGCTTGAAATCCATAAGCGACTAGTGATCTTTAGTTAGGTTTCATTTCAATGACACAGTATGAATTTGTCTGCCTCTTTTGTTTCTAAGTGACCTATGCTGTATTATTGCAAAATAATGCAAGAACAACGTGAAGCTTATGGATTTTACACAAGCTGCGCGATATGGTATTTAGAAGGCAAAACAAATTTTCCTTCGTGATCCTTGTAAGTATGTGCTGCTATGCGACATAAGTAACTTAAGGAAAGTGGCCCGGTAGATGGTACCAAATTCATGTGCATGCACGAAACTTTCCACTATCGCGCACTACCAAACACTTTTTTACTTTGTTCTATGACATTCTGAAGCCATATGATTTGTATGCATAGATGTAAAAACTATTTGTGCGCGCATCATCCGGTTCGGGAGTTAAGGCTGGAAGCAAATTCCAAAAAGTTAAAAATTAATGATTCCAGTGTTGATAAGTCTCGTTATCAACCGATCTTCTTTAAATTTGTATGGTTCTTAGGCCACTAAAAGGTTCGTGTGCAACCTTTTATACCTTTCCCGCTGACGTAGAAGGGGAGTCGAAATTGGCGAATTTTTTATTACGTCATTTGGGAAGGCTCCCTTTTCTTATGATTTGTTTTCGTAAGTTGTACAGTAATCATAGAGACTGATATAAACGTGTTGGTACGATGTCAACCTGGTAAAATCTACTCCACTAGTAAGTACTATACCGGGACTGTACATACATACTTAAAACCCAATGCTATGCTTCGATTGGTTGTACAGTTGCTAAGCAAAAAGCAGTTCCGCAATCACTGCAACATAATATGCTGCACTCAGATTGTTATCCATATTTGGGCGTTATAAATGCAGTGTTTTCGTGCAAATACCTACTCTACAATATTTGTTATTATCGGTCTGCTTACACTATTTTCTGACTACCGTAGGAACTCGAATCGCCCGTATATCTACAGTAAATGCATCAGCAGTGCTCTATGTAAAAATTATTGTTTTGTATTGAATTGCTTATCCTTCAGGCTTTATGGTAAACTAATACGGATCTTTTAAACTAAACCACCACGAACAAAATGTTTTAGTTGTATCGTGATACACAATGCCATACTGAAGTGCTGTACACAGAATTATCTAAATTATACAGCTTTAACACAAAGATATCTTGTTTTTCCTCCTGGAGAACTGTGGTAGCCGTATGACAACAGAATCGCTGCCCAGGTAAATATGCACCGGAATGAAGGTAAGTGCATAAAGAAGGTCATAAGTGGACCAGAATAAGTACTAGTGAACTGTATCGTTATTGACCTTATCATTGCTGCACGGGTTCGCAAGACGGGCTGGTAATGCTTGCCTGTGGGGTGTGGTATCAGGAACTTTTGGTCGAAGGAGTGAAAATCCCGTTTATCCGCGGTGAAACCCTCTATAACGTCACGATAAAGTACTTTTTTTCAACCAGGCAAAACTTTCTCGGGCAATGCCGAGTGAGGGTCAAGTGTCAACCATTATTTTCAGTTTTCGCTTGTGCGCTGTGCCATGAGTCGCCACTGCCATCAATCAGATAGCATGCCTATGCCAAATGAGCTTTAACTTTCCTGTGTCGGTGACAACATTCTTATGTGCACAGCCAGCACAGGGGGTCTTTCTCACCTTAGCCGAAAATATTTTATTTTAATCAGTGGCGCGTCTAGGGGGGTGCCAGAGCAGCCATGGCCCCCCGTAACCTGGACGTCAAAAAAATTCGCAAGAGGGGGGTACATTGCGAATTTTTTTACGGCGGAGGTCGCCAAAAAAGCGAGAGAATACACCCCCCTTTGGTGTGAGTTCTCTGGCTCCCCCTCCGAAACCAGGCTAGATTCGCCACTGATTTTAATGGTTCTAATCATTTTTTTTCTTGTGATTCCGAGTGAGAAAGCCCGTTGCTTGCTAGCTCCTGCGAATCGATCTCCCACGCCTGCTTTTGAGCATTTGTAGAAAGGTCAGATTTACTGTTAGCGGTGCACGACCTGTGCACTCCTACATAATCTTATGTTGTCCGAACTTGCATCCGGAACCGCTGCCAGGTGATCATCTGCCCTGCCGTAATATGAGAGTAATTTGAGAGCATGTGTAATTTGGCTGAATGGATCTACTGATCATCTCTTAAATTCGCGACGATACAGTCCTAATAGCACTGCCGTAGGCTAGTAACAAAATCCTACGCACTAGCTTTCGTTAACGCTACGGTGATCTTATCCCAGTGCGTCAGAAACGTGAACTAGAGGTTAGCGGTAAAAAGTCGAAAAATCGAAAAGGAATCCTAATTGTAAGTGCCAATGTCGACAATAGAACACGTGGTACATAACTGGCGGTGGGGTAACAGACTAACAGTAGGCGTCTCACTCCTAGTAATAACGCGTTTCGGCTTTGGAGAATGCTTAGAATAATGGAAAGGATCAAAGCAGTCGAAAAAATAACCACCGAGTGGCAGACCAAAGCCTATTGAATATACAAAGCCTGGAAGCAGGCATATAACACGGTCACGTCCTCAAGCCAACTCCGCTGATTTGAAGGAAGCTCAGACCAGCCTCCTCTAAAGCTAGATCAGGAAGTGATCCAGATACGGCGACCTAAACGGAATAGATCCCGTGGAGTGAGCAATGCGATATGTATTGCGAACTATGCGGAAACGCAAGACGTCGCACCGCTAATTGCTGACTTTTTAATATCGAAAAGTCTGGAGAACAGAAAATCAATACTGATCGGCGCAGCTCGATCGTAAAGCGTAGAGCCAAATCATCAGTGTGCAGCACGTGCTAAGCCGCGCCCACTAACAAAACGCAAGCCAATCAGAAGCGAGACACAACACAGACACGTAATCCATGTGGCGCAGCGTTGCGGACGTGAACGCTAGTGAACCCCCGCTCACACTCCTTTGATAGTTGGTGAAAATTAATTCGTAAGTAATTCCTCGTGCAAAACAGAGGGATGTGCTTGCAGTACCAGGTGTACAAACAATGTGGCGAAACGGATGTAGTTTTTGAAAAAAATTGTAACTAAACCAGGAAAGTAATACAGGATGTTTTGGCAAACGCCCTATTCATCCCATTCATCGCGCGATATTGTCTTCTTGAATTCGGGTAATGTGCGTTCACATTTTGATAAATGGATATTCGCTATGGAAATTCTTTAAAATTCATGGTTTGAAAAAGCATACGAGTACTTGATCAGCGCATAGAAAACTGGATAACGTTAGCTTTCAGGTGGCCACCGTGCAACATACCTGCGCATTTTGGACGGTTGAATTAATACGATTTTTTGAACGACTTTTTCAGCCGTTTCTCCGTAGACTCGTATGCTAACTCAGCGGAGCTCCGCTTTGCTGATAAGATCAGCTTCAAGGCTTTGTATATTCTACTGGCTTTGGGCAGACTTGGCCTGTAACGCCGGTTGGGTAGAGCTCTACTTGTGGAACAGTACAGGGGAGAATCAAACAAATTCTGTGATGTCCGAGGACTAATCAATTAAGTGCCCGGCACCCGGCAGTCTGTGGCAGCCGGTTTTGGCGAGGGAGGTGAAGGGAGAGAGGGCGCTTCCCGGCAATCGGCGTTTTGCCCGGATGCAGGAGATAACGTGTACAGAGGGTGATTCCGCCAAGTTGAGATAGCTTTTCGCAAATTTATTTTCCTCTCCTTTTCCCAGTTATTATCAAACAATCATTATATTTGAATGCTCTTTCTTTTAGTTAGCTGGTCAATTTGTTTTGACAGAGTTCAAACTTTTCTGAGAGTCATAGGATTTTGGAAACAAAAAGAGGGTCTGCGAAAAGCAGTGAACAAACTGCAAAAACTCGACGCACAGTTTTAATTAAAAATTCGTTTAGAAATTCCATTGTTTTAGAAACCTCTGGTTGAAAGTTGTACAGGATAGCCTGGTCCCCAACTCTTCAGTGCATATTCATCGCTGTCAGATGTTGAGCTACTGACATGGAGGTTTTATGGTGCGTACCGGGGGGAAGTTCTGATGGAGGTCTTCCCAGCTTTTGTTCTCTGGATACAGCTTCAGAGGGCGTTTTAAAAGAAGCGGCTTAAGCACATCGCACGTAAGGAGAGTGACAATAGTTTTAGTGAAGAGAGGGGCCAAATGTATCGCGGTGGTACGGCGGTACTTAACTTCCGCCAGAGGCATCTCTTCTGAATTTATTAGGTTTTTTCAAATTTTTGTTTTCCGAATTTTTTTAAAAGCTGAAATATTATCTGACTTCTCTCGAGGGGTTTATTGAGATAGCCTCGCGGTTCATTGTTTACGCTAATCGGCGGCAAATTTCAGATGCTTAGAAATTTGGTGAATTAATTATCACTGGTGTTCTAACTGGTGTTAAACTACTGAGCAGACTGTAAATAGATACAATAGTCGCGGAGGTATGAAAACTATCAACTGGAAATTTAGTGGGAATTATTTCCACTGCTGTCTCAGTTTGGCGGAAATCTGTATATGTATGTGACGTAGTGTACAGTGCATTGAAACAGGTGTCTGGTTTA